ACGATTGCCCTAAATAACAATAATAATAATAATTATTATTTGATGTAAAAAAAAGTTTATACGAAAAATATATAAAATGATTCGTATAAACATATTACATTTGAATTTAACAGTTCAATCTTTCAAATAACGAACAAATATTTGTGAAATTATGATGCATTTGTGAATGTATTTTAACAATCTAAAATATGCATATATACAGACAGATACATTTAAAAAAAGAAGAAAATTATGTTTTATTACATTTACAGTGATTTTACGTTAATTTACACTTGAAATGTAAAATCACAGTCTATTTATGTGAATTTAATGATATTCTAGAAAAACAGTACAAAACTGTAAAATACACAGTAAAATATTTTTATATCACGATTTTTTTTACAGTGTACTTAACCCTACATATGCTATTTTTGTATTTATATTTAACTGATTACCTTTTAAATCTGTTTAAAGTATTTTTCTTGTATACTGATTGCTGATGGATGCTAATATTTGTGAGGTGATTAATAATTAGCAGCAGTGGTATGGACAATGATTCAGAGTTAGGAGCGTGATTCCTCTTTACTGGAGCAGATCGGCGGGGAGGAGCTGGAAGTGTTGCCAGTGACAAGTTATCGGTTGTTGCCGCAATAAAAGTGAATAAATAAGATGAAAAATAAATTGATCGGCTGCTAAAAACGGCTTGTAAAATACCACGAGTTGTGTGACACTGTATACTTTTAACATAGCAGTGTAACAGCTCGAGCTTGTGGCAGCTACCGGTGCACACTACTAAACATCTCGGGAGCGGCGACAGCTCCGGCTGGAGCCACTGCCGAGGACCGTTCATTTGAGCGGTGGAACTGAAGGCTCGCGGAGCCCTCGCAGAACATTCCAACTATAATGTTTACCAAAGCGATTCACATGAGAAGCCTTTCCTATCAGACAGTCCACAGCATTACCAGTTTCTCATGTGTCCCCTGGGAAAACATCTCACCCCTGCTCTAAATGAATGTATAATGAATAAATACACGAAAACATATTTCTGACATTTCTGCTTTTTTTTCATGTGTTTACTGTCACATATATAACAAAATAAGGACGATACTGTAAACGTACTTTTGTTCTGCAATTTAAAAAATGCCAACATGCCAATGTTAACTAAAGTAGGCTTGCAAATAGTTTTACTTGAAATGGAGATTCCTCTTAATTTCTCTGAACACGTGAGATTTTTTTATTTCAAAGAAAATCAAAAAATTAAAATAAATGATGAATAAAAAATGTTCTGTTTATTATCAAAAAAATGCATCATTAAAACAAGTTGAAGCCCTAAGAGGATGCTTTCAGTTTCCAGGTTGTGTTTGGGTCCTGTGGAAACTGGAAATCTTGGTAATAAAACAGATACCAAATACCAATAATGGAATAATAGCAATAATTTAAAATAATCTTTTACAAGTGATGAGACTTTTTATTCAAGAATCGGAATTTATTGACCGATAAATTCAATTTGATCCCACCCCACACAAACGTCAGAGTCCTCCCCGGAGGTCAGGGACGCTCTGATTCTGTTCCTGTCCATTATGAAATAGCCTCACTTAGTCTGGTTGTCTTAAATACTGTGTACGCTTTTTTTTTCTCCAACATATTGGTCTTTGTAACTAGTGTTACGTCAGCTCGTATGTGACTGAGAGAGAGAGAGAGAGAGAGAGAGAGAGAGAGAGCGCGCGCGCGTGTGTGTGTGTGTGGTGCTGGTGGGGGGGGGGTACTCAGACCTGCACACATTACCTGCTCTTCATCCTTCTCCGTGCTCATCACTTATCGCCAGGCAAGCAGCGAGGCACCGACCAGGATCACAAACCCCGCGGAGAAGCGTAAAGTATGCCTCCCGAGGCGCTACGGTTTGGATCCGGTGTCTGTTGTTTAATCTTTGGCGGATTTTACGTGGACGAGTTGGTGAATGGATCCAAAGGACACCGAGCCGTAAGTTGCAGGTTCCAGCTGGAAAACTTCTAGTTTGAAGCTTATTGGATTGTGACTCTGCAGCGGAGGACTTCCCACATCAAAAGCTGCTGCTGCCCGCAGGGACCGCCGGGGAGCTCTGTGAAGACCCTGTGATTTCTCGTGTAGTGGAGAAGAAGATCATCTTTACTGTCCCAGATCTCCTCCACTGAGGATCTGTCACTTCAGGCCCGTTTGTGAATACATATCTCGAAGATGAGAGCTGTCTCCTCTCTCTGTCCTCCACTTGGTCGAATGTGGATGGATGTGGCGTCGTGAGGAGGCACTAGCCTGAGGACAGTTTGGAGTTTTTTGCCCACACATTCTTCACCTCATGCAGTTCCTTCGGCCGGCCTGGGCTCTGACTGCCGCCGCGGTCTGCTTCCTCCTATTGCTCCTCCACAGCCAAATCCTGAGAGAAGGTAGTGTTTCTGTTTTCTGGTTACATAGTTACATACATATGTGCCTGTGTATGTTTGTGGTCAAACTTAGGAGCCAGAGTGCCTCAACAGGTCAGATACAATATGGAAAAAAATGTACTGAAAGGTTTCTGTCTCTGTGGTTTCAGTACCCGGAGACACTAACAGGGAAGTGCATTTGTGCATGCAGTCCCGCGGTTTTAGTCGTCTGTGCAGCGCTTGTGCAGCAGTGATATGGTTACGGTATGATGATGATATGGTAAATTAAGATCAGAGATGTAAAACAAATGAATCAACATCAGTAGAAACACGGACCCTGGTCGGGACGTCCGGGCGGGATAAAGCGCTCAGGAAGCAGTCTGAGCTCCAGCAGAGCTTCGATGTTTTTCGCTATAGGAAACCGAAGCAATCGGAAACAATCTCAGAGATGAAACACTCTACCTGTCTATCCATCGTGCCACACACAGAGAGACTGTACGGTTCTGTACACAGACCGTGCAAGGAAATCTAATGAATGTCATGGCAAGTTATTAAACTTCCTTCTTAGCAATTGTGACATTTATTTTGTTGGTCTGGTCGCTCTGCACTGTTTCATTTCTAGACTGATGTGCAGGTTTTATCAGTAACAGACACAATAATACAAAGTGTTTATTTTACTAATGTTCTGGACTATTTTTAATCCTTGTTAAAAAGTAGTTTTGATGTTTGTATGCTGATCTCTGTTGTGTTAAGAAAATATATGACATAATGTGGCCCCGCCGGTACACAGGATTTAGGCTTGTGTAAAGCTCCACTCTCTCAATGCAGGGGCATTACACTTTTATTACAATTATGATTAGAAATTAAAACTTGACCAAAATCTGATTAGATTCAAGCAGGAGCTAGAAAAGTCTCTTTGCAACTCTAAAAGACAACAATCGGGAAAACAAATGTTTTTCTGATACTTTTTATTATTTGCAATGAAAAGAATGAAGTTATTGATCTTTTCTGAAAAATGGAAATTTGTAATGCAGTTTCATGGTAGTAAAGGAGGACTTTAAGCAGCTGGTTCAAAAGCCGAACTCAACATACAATGTCTCATGTAAAAAGAGACATTGAAGAGTTCTGAAGAGTTAAAAGGTTAAGTTATTTTAGTTATTATTACTCGAAATTACAGCGCTTTGTCTTTATTCCATATGTAGTGGCGACAAGAACAAAATTCTGTCACGGATACAAATGTTGGTGATCGTGACATTAAGTGCAGGCGATGTCTGTTGAACGTGACCTGTGGAAAAAAATACAAACAGAGAATAAAACGTTGCATTTGCAGGGGGATGCTTTATACAAACGTAATATTATAACAAATCTTTTATTTAAAAAAAATGTATAGATTTGAATAATTGTTGTATGTGTGACAATATTCACGAACAGTTTTGTGGAGCTTGGCCAGCACATTGAGGAAGAAATAGGGTACATATATGCAAACATACATAATGATCATTATAGTAAGAAGATAGATAGATAGATAGATAGATAGATAGAGAGTGAGAGAAAGGACAGACAATGCTCTTAATTTTGTTTGCACTAACAAATAAATTGTACTGCTTACAAACTCCAGTCACCAGTAAAACATAATAAATATAATTGTCATAATTTTCTTGAAACATTGCATTATTTACATCCTTAGCTGAGTGATTCTTGCCAAAACAAGCATCACTGCAGTAGTAGAGAACTTCTTTTTGTGTATGCAAACACTACTTAATAGCGCATTAGATAGTGGTGGGTCAAAAATTGTAACTTCCTTCCGGACTCATCTGGCTGAAATGTCGCCAACAGTGTGAAAATTTCAGTGTTCAGGTTTATTCTGTGGTGGATAGTAAAGAAAAGAAGGAAGTGCAGAGCATTTTTACAAAGCCTTGTCCCTGAAGCACCACACACACAATACTCCAGCTTAGTGTTGGAGTCCCACTCGTACTTTGCATTCACTAAAAACACTGATATAAAATTGCTCAGTGATCCAAGTGGAAAAGCACCACAGCGTTTACTTTAAAGAGAACAAAAAAAAAATCAACCTGTTCTGCTTTCATCTCTAGCAGCACTGATTTTTCTGTGGTTGTCAGTACTAGTTTGCAAAAAGCACCTCATCAGGGGGTTCTGCAGTGTTGAATATGTCCCTCCTTTGGGATACCAAGAGAGCAGTAACATTAATAAGCTCAAACGTTTCCAATGAAAAGTGAAAATGAGTTAATAAGTTGTGATCAGAAAGGGCCAGTAAAAATTAAACAATGTCTTTTGCCTCTAAGGTGTAAGCTGGATTGTGTCCAGTAAGTTGAGCAATTTTAATTTTGGAAAAGTGGACAAAGTTGCAAGGAGCCAGATCTAGTGAACAGGTCAGCTGATGAGCAAACATTTTGTCGATGCAGCCTAAAAAATGCATCTTTAATACAGTTTGTGCCAGCACAGTGCAGCCTCCATGTTGTTGTAGGCTTTCCATAAATATGATTGCAAAAGTCTTCATCAGCAGCTTCTGCAGAGGAAAATCTGCAGGAGAAAGTTTATATTCTAACATACTAACAGTCATGCTGCATCATGTTCACCTGCAGAAAAACAGAGAGAAACATCTGGATGTCTTATAATCAGTGTTTTGTTAAGCTGCATTAACACTCAACAACATCATCAGCTGTAATATCAAAAACTGGAACTGATTTTATAGCAATTTGTGTCAGCCAAGAATACAGTGAGAACATATTCAGTTCTCTCCTCTTTGGTATACTGCACATAAAATCTGCAGTTAATGAAGTGAACTTATTTTTTGTTTACTTGTGGAGTGAACTGAAAAAGATTCCAACTAATAATAAAAGTACAGTGAGGGTAGCATTAGTTAGTGTCTGGGTAGGTCTAATGACTTTTCTCAGGGCCTCATCTTTAGCTACTGCAGGTCTTAACATCCATCAGGTCAGTTTTCCAGCTAGCCAGTGTTGAAGAACCACTTGCCACTTTTGAGGCATGGAGTAAAAGCTAACAGTCTTTCCTTGGTTTTTGTAATTGCTATAGCCAGGACAAAACAAAACTGACCCCACAGCTTTTTAGACCATACAGTGTGAAAACTGTAATACATTTATGTTTTAAATTATGGACAGTACAAGCATTTCATGCCCACTTTGAGCTCAAGCCCCTTATCCTGTGAAACCAGGCAGACACTCTTTCTACCTTTATGACTCTCTTCCAGAGAACTGTTTTGAGCTGTTGCTGGAATATTTTGTCATTGGCTGATAGTGCTGGGATTAGGTTCACAGCTTAAGTTGTTATTATTGTAGGCTCAAGAGACTGGGTTCCCATAATGCACTGGGCTTGACCACTTCCCCCTTTTGTGGTACTATTGCACACCATTAAATTTTGTGTTATGTCCTGTTTGTTATTGTGTTTACTCTATGCAATCCTGTGGTGTTCTCTTCCTCTTACAAGGCAGTTCTTTCTTACCACCATCACCAAGTGCCTTCATAGGAGATTGTTAATTTAGTCTTGTCCCTGTTTAATATTGTTTTTCTACCACAAAGTGTGTTGAGATAACTATTGTTGCTAACTGTTGTCTGCAAAATGATGCCCACCCCACGGACATGCCAGATTAAAACAGACA